CCTTCACTGTGGCCTCTGAACTTCTTCAGAATCACAAAACTTTGACAGTGGAACCTCAAGGAGTGTCCCTCAGGGCTAAGCCATCACTGGGTGACAACTGCTACCTTTGTGGGCCCATTCTACAGAACTTAAAATGGAGGCACAAATGGCTCATCAGGTAAAGGGGCTTGACTTGCGACCATGGCATGCATGTGTATACACAACTGAACAAGCGTGAAATAAGAACAAAAGAAGTCAGGGAGTTTTTTTCCGATGTATAGAAGCAGGAACTAGGAGGGCAGAGAGCCTCCACTGGACACCACATGGGCCTTTAGAGGCCTAGCATCGGTGGCTCTTGGCTACAGAGAGGATGCAACTTTAGGATCAGCTCTGTGGGTTCTGGGGGGACTGGAGCAGCCCCTCCCAGACACATGGTACCCTCCGTGTTGATGCAGAGGAGATGGGGAGCTGGAGGGACAGCCGGCCGGTAGCACCATATCCCACATCTTGTAGCCTTCTCCACCCCCAGAAACCCCTCTGAACCTAGGAAAAGCAAAGTCCTCCTGCCCCACCCGGATCCTCTGCGTGGTGTCCCTGAGATGACCCAGGGACCACTGCGTCTCTGACTGCAGGCACACTTTGAAAACCCTCTTACCTACCCTCCCTCCGGCCCTTTTCAGAAGTCTCCCAATAGATCTATCAAAGGAAGAGCCTTCATGCCTCCCTCCTCCCACTTCCAGCTCATAACGAGTGTGAGACCTCAAAAACCAAACTGAACAGGCAGAGTGAGCTGTAAGAAAGACCCCATCTGCCTTGATGGGTAAATGGCTAGAACCCCAGGCTGACTTGGGACCCCAGGTTGGCTGTGCTGGAAAATTTGCAGTATAAAGCATGGCTCAGAGGCCCATACCAGAAGTGGTCATGGTAGAAACAAGGTACTGGGTAAGGGTGCATTCTGCTGGCAGCAGGGACCGAGGACGCTGCTACTGTGTGTCAATAGCAGGATGAAGAGAGAGCAGGGGGTCTAGGAGAGGGGTGTCCATGAGACCAGGACACAGGCTGGGAGGGGACAAGCCCTAGGACCTTACCTGCCCAGCAAAGAGTTGGATCTCTCCTGTGGGTGACAGGAACTAACAGGGACTCTGCAAACAAGTGGCACCATGCAGGGGTATGCCATAGATAGGAACTGAGCCAGGGAGGAAGCTACTGCAAGAATCAGGGTGTGACCAGAGATGAGCTGGAAGGGCATCCTCAGGAGGGAGCTGAGACACGGGGACAGCGCCGATGGATGATGCGGGTCACAGCTAACAACTGTCACCCCTGATACTGATACAAAGGGTGGAATCGGCGAGGCGTGAACAAATGGAGTTTTTGTATCATTGCTGGCCGGGCGGCATGCAGGAAATGGCCTAAGTCACGGGAAGGCCAAGTGCATGGGAGAGAGTCATCTGTTTGCTGCATTTCACCGTTTCTAAGTAGAGCAAGAAGGAACTTAGCTAAGAAGGACTGTGCCAGAGCATCAAAAAGTAACAGCCTTCTTATCAGCCCTGGTCCTCCCCCACATTCAGGGCAGAGTACCGAAGGGCATTTACTGCTGTGAGGCTGGAAGAAGCATCCAAGGGAAGTGTCTATTGAGTGGAAGTGAGGTTAGGGGTGCCTGCGACTCCAGCAGTCCAGAGCTGGAGACCCGGGATTTCAATTCTGGGCCACACAGTGCAACATTGTCTCACAAAGGGGCTAGGGCTGTAGCTCAGTGGTAAAACCACTCTCCTCTGATAGGCAAGGCCCTAGGTTCAAACCCCAGCAGAGGAGAGGAAGGGAAGGAGAGAAGGAGGGCAGAAAGAAAGCTATGATAAAGTTGGAGTTATTGGCAACGATGGGAGGGTGATTACCAGTGAAGAAGAGCTGAAACCCACTCACGCCAGGGCTCTGGTACTGACCATGCCCACGCAAGACAAGATCTCTCTGTCCCACGGGGCCAGGGCTGGATGCTGGGTGGCCTGCAGAGTCACAGCACATGCAGTTTGTATTTTTCTGTGACACCAGTGGTGCACAGCTGTTTTCTTGTCCTTTGAACCCCCTGTGACCTAGTCATTCAGCCCCAGATCCTCATCCCCCCCAAAGACTAAAAGGCCATCTTTTTTTTTTCTTCTTTTTTAAATCAATGAGCTTAAATTTGCTTTTCCCATCACAGCTCTGTGAGGTGATTGAAGATGAGCCATGCTGTGAGACCCTGAAACTCCATCCTCAGTTTTGTGCCCCACACAGCCATGGTCACTGCAGGCGTGGAGAAGCAGGAGAGTGATTTATTTTTGCCTCACAGAGGAATGAAGCTTTTCCACATTCCATATACACTGATCAAATGAAAAGATGCCCATGTGACATCCTAGAGCCCACAGTTTTGAAAAGTAAACATCGGTTCCAAACAGCAAGGAAGTAGTACATGAAACCCAGCATCTCCATGGAAACCAAATGCCGCTCTGCTACCTCACTGCCTGGGTGATTTGTGCTTTTTTGTGTAAATGCATTTTTTTTGCACTTGTGTGTTCATGCATTTGTAGATGCACATGTGTGCACGTGTGTGTGGGAAACCAGAGGTCAGCCTTAGATGATACTCCTCAATAGCCATGCATATCTTGTTTTTTGAGGTAGCGTCTCTCACTGGCCTGGCGCTCACCTCATGGATTAAGCTGGATAACCAGCGAGCCCCAGGGATCCTCCTGTCTCTGCCATCCTGGTGTTGGCATCTGAAGCATGTGACAACATTGGCTATGTACATGTGTGCAAGGGACTGAACCCGGGTCCTGATGCTTACTTAGACAGGAAGCACATTCCTCACTGAGCCAACTCCCAAGCCTGCCTTCTGTCTGTGTTCTGCAGGTGGTTTTCAGCAAGTACTGCAACTCCAGCGACATCATGGACCTGTTCTGTATCGCCACCGGCCTGCCTCGGTGAGTGTCTCCCCCCCCCACCCCCACCCCGTGTGCCCTGTGATGAGGACTGTGTTATCCCCCCGAAATGGACCGGAGAAGGGTGAGGCGGCAAGTGGGGGTCAGTGCGGAGGAGTCCCCCAGGCTTCTACGGTGGTTTCCCTGAAACCACTGAGACAAACCCCACGGGAAGCTCGGTCCCACCTCCCCAGCAGCAGCGTCCAGCCGCTGGGTCGAACGCAGCAGAGCCCCCTCGTGAGAGGTGGGTTTTTCCTTCCACGGCCTCAAATAACTCATGTAAGCGCTTTTGCTCTCAGGATGCTGTCCTCAGCAGCACTCGACACGTGACTGGCTTCGAGAGATGAGTTAAAAGCAGTTGCCTGTCCTACAGAATCCTCAGACTCCCCCCACAGTGTCTTTCCTAAATCCAGTCCGTACTAGCACGGGAATTGTCTAATTACAGGCAGAGCCTCCATAGTTCCCAAACCCCAACTGCTCCAAAATCTGAAACAGTTTTAGCACTGACCCGACACCAAAAGTGGAGAATGTCTTACTCGACCTAGTGTGATATGTCAATCAAAGCACTCCGTGAAAGGCATGGATTGCGTGTTTAGGCATGGGTCCGCTCCCGTAATATCTCATCCCATATCTTCAGGTAGCCTAAGATCTGGAAAAAAAAAAAATCCCATATACTTCTGGTCCTGAGCATTTTGGGTAAGGCATACTTGGCTCATCTTAACACCTAATTTCCCATTAGAAAGGGTGACCAAAGGCCAGGCATGGTGGTATGTGCCTGTGATGCCAGTATTTGGGAGGCTGAGGCAGGAGGATTGTGAGTTAAAGGTCAGCCCTCACTACACAGTGAGACCCTGTCTCAGAGACCACAAAAGAAGTAAATAAGAGAAAAGAAAGGTTGATTGGGTGTGGCGTTGGGTGCAGATCACTTTAAAGTTGGGGTCAGGGTCAATGGAGGTGGAAGGGATGGAAAGCTGATAAAAGCTTTTCGCAAGCCAGCGAGGAAAAGGACCGATGTGATAAAGGTGACAATTTAGAGGCGACAGCAGATGACCCAGTGGAGTGAAAGCAGCCACCAGACCGACAGCTTTAGGAAGCATGTATTAAGAACTATAAAACATAGGCAGTGTACACATCTACCTTGACTACACTGTGAGATTGGGGCCTCATTTCTAATTGTGCTGATCTGAAGGATTCACAGGCCCCCGGGGAGCTGGCTCCATGGGTCAAGTCCTTGCTGTACAAGTGTGAGGACCTGAGTTTGATTCAATCCCAAACACTCACATAAAAAGCCAAGTGTGGTGGCACACACTTGTAATCCCAGTCCTAAGGAGGCGGGGATGGTGGATCTAGGGAGTTCACTAGACAGCTAGGCTAGCTGAATTGCAAGCCCTAGTCCCAGTAAGAGAGAGACCCTGTCTCAAAATTCAAGGTGGATGGTACCCAAGGAATGCCATAGAGGTTGACCTCTGACCTCATGCACCCACACAAGCATGCACTTATCCTTAGACACACAAATAAAAATACAATAAGAATAAGAATTTATATTTACATGAGTTGAAGATCACAGCTCATCAGAAGCTCCAAAGATGAGAAGCTGGGGAGGAAATTGGTTTTGACCACTTAAGTCCACTTGTGGAAAAAAATTGGGACCAGCTCAGGGGACTCTCTCCCGGGGTCCAGAGCAGCGAGATAAGCAAACAATGATTCCTGTCTCAGACCGATGTTAGTTTTTGGGGGCACCGCAGCTTCCTTAATCTCCCAACTCAATAAATTAGCC